TAAGTAATATGTGTACACTTCGTATCTTATTCATCATATGTCTGTCACTCATTTTTGTCCGATTATAAATGTTGATTAACGCTTGCTTAAATCGAGTTGGCTTCCCAGCCATCTCCACTGCATATCATTTCCGCCTCGTTCGCTTCCTTCGCTTATTCGCCTGTTCACTCGCTCGTTATTATTCGCTCAGGTGTTGCTAAATTTCTGACCTGAGTTATTCGACAATAAACTGTAGTTGCTGCTATCCTTTGTCTTTTGATTTTACGCGCCGTTAAGATTGGAATTATATCGGTTATCGAAACGAACGATTAAAGAATCGCGGCACTACAGATCAAATAAAGGAGAAACTAAAGTAAATAAGCCTGACGCATTCATTATTGATCCTAACTGAATATTCGTTATCTAGTAAGAATCATCAGATCGTTTGTTCACTTGAATCGTTAAACTACTTATTTCCATCCTTGCTTATAGGACATCAGCCAGTAATGAATAAGTATTTAATTTAATGAAAGAGGAAACTTTATTGAAATCATGAATTGATCAATGTCAGGACACTAATGAAAACCTGGAAGCACTGGGTCGCAGTTTCGTCTTGGTATAGGACCTCCCATCAGTGAGCATGCATGGTCCCGCACGAGGGATTCTAAACCAGAACTTTCTGTCTTGTATGAACACTTGACATTATACCCAACACTGTTGAATTCCAATGGCTACGGTTTCTCTTTAGAAACTCAAGAATTAACTCTCTAACCTAGTTATTAGTGAGCACATAACAATTTTCAGTGAGTTTGTGGAGATTGTTCCAAGATCGTGGCCATACACTACTGAGGAGTCCCATAATAGGACGAAACGGCCGTTCAGTGCTTCCAGGTTTTCAATGGTAATCTAACATTGATCAGTTCATGATTTTAAAGAAATTCAATAATTTCCACAACCCCAAACTGAAAAAGAAGAAATTGATGACAATGTAATCTTGTAGTATTGTTTATCCATCTGATTGTTTTATTTTGGATTCACTTTATAGCAAAGGTTTAGTGGAGAAATGAAAAAGTAGAGGAAACATTTATTCTAACTCTTAAGTGTTTATCACTTTTATTTAATAGTTGAAATCATGAGTCAATTGAATTTAGACCACCATAGAAAACCTGGAAGCACTGGACGACCGTTTCGTCCTATTATGGGACTCCTCAGTAGTGTGCATTCACGATCCCGCACTCACGAGATTCGAACCCAGGACCAACTAGTCTCACGCCAGAACGCTTAACCGATAGACCACTGAGCCGGCCGTCATCCAACGGTGTTAATATCTAACCTCAACCAATCTACGATGTTTGAGCGACCATTCACCAATTGTCTTCAGTGAGTTGATATCTCCACAACAGACTTGGTTGAACTTCACTGGTCACTGCTTCCCTCTAGAACTCAAGGAAACATCCCTTACAGTCAGTCACTAGTGAGCATATGATTATAGATCAGAAGGGGTTTTGTTGGTTTGATTCAGTGAACTCCATGATACATATATGTTCCATGATTATCGTTCTATTAACTTGATCAAATATGTTGTTACAATAGTATATTATCCAATGATAAATCATCATATCAATTAATTATGTGTCAGTGGGTTCGAACAAATTAAAACGTGATTGTTTTAGTCACCATTTTATATCTCAGTTGTGAAAACTTGAATAGAAACCACTACATTTAAAAGTGCAGGAATATTTCTCAACAATATTATATTATCCAGATTGAGAAGTACCTAAGAACGTGTGTCTGACGCAAAGTTTTCATAGAACCAACGATCAGATATTTAATAAGTAAGATAATATAGATACTTCTAATAAAAGACGAAAGCCATAATATTTCTACTTTGTAAAGGATACTATTGTTATATAGTCTAGGTGCGTGCTTGCCCTGTTGCCCCGTCGCCAGTTGTTATATCGATTGCGTGCGTGTGCCTCATTTGATATATGATCATGCTAAGACAGCCAATTAGGGAGCAGTAAATTTATTGATATGATACAATAATACACAAAGTCGTATGATCAGTCTTGAGTACTTGTCAGTCCTGCTTTTTCCTAGCTCAGCCAGATAAGTCCAGATCACTAATAACAGCCTTTGCAATATGAATCACTATTCACAAACATACTGGGTTTATATATCAAACAAACTGACCACATCGTACCATAAATTAGAAAATAACATATGTACAAGATTCGGCCAAATGTGTCTGTGAATAGGGGGAACAGTAATTAATAGACTAGGGATAACTGAAGAATGCCAAATCGTATAATAATAGTCTATGGGTCAAAATAAAGCTTATAATAAGAGGGACACGAATGTGAATAGTTAAGTTACTTAGCAATTATACAATAGGAAATATACATATCATATTGGTTCATAAATAGTTCTCAAAGTTACAATTCATAATAATCCACGGGATACAACAACTATGTTCAGACGTTTCCGACCTAACGTATATGTATTGAAAGGGATAATGTGACAGATCTTTCTTTTACATGATAAACATATTTGTATTTACCTAAATTTATCTGTTACCTAATCTTTTCGATATTGATACATTCGTTTGATTTCGTTTCCAGTCTTATGGATGATTTATGTTCAGATATTGAATCATGTCTGATTTTTACTGTGATCATGTATCTTCATATACCTTCCTCTACGTTGCTTGACCAGTTTCTTTCAATATATAAATATGTGTCATCCTTTATTATTGTTGAATATCCCTTTATTTATAACTTTGTTCCCTTGTTATGATTTACGATTATTGTTTTGAAAATCTATGTCATTTCCATTAACATAATAAAGTCATTCCTTTGTTTCCAATCCTATAACCCTTCATGTAGTCGGTCTGTTCATAGCTGATAAGAAACAATGAAAAAGAATGGCAGATTCATTTTATTTTTAAAATATTTTTGATTCTTACTTTGTTAAGATGGGTCAATTTTTGAATTATTCAGAAATTATGTAAGCTCTCTACACAACTACTCCGCCTGTAGCTCCTCCGAAGGCTACTGCCGCAACCAAGCCCGGGTAAAGAAGGAGGGTTGAGCATGGGGTTAGCGACCCCATCCCGTAGAATACCAACTCGCTAAAAAAACGCTAACCAGAAAAAAATTATTCAAACCTACACAAGTGTGACTTATTAGTTAGAGCTTTCACTTTTCAAGAGGCCTAAGCATTCTCAACCCTCTTCTATTTGATTCATCTTATGGTAGTACTGGATCTTAAACAACCAGTATGCATAGAAACTGATTATATAAGTTAGTAATGTTAAATCTGGAAAAACTGAGGTGTATTGAACACAAAACTGTTACATATTATTTAGTAACTCCTTAATGGTGCTCATTCGTAATCCCAGAACTATCGGGATTTTGAGAAAAGCACAAATACTTTACATCGCGAGATTGAAATACCATGGACCATATTCTCAAGTACAATCATATTACTGACTCAATGAAAGACCCTAGTTGGATCGCGAACACTTAGTAATGATTCATTTAGTATTGTTTGTTTGAATCTTTCCATCGATGTTTTAGGACTGCAACTGGTCATTCTCTAATTGGCATATGTGCATACTGTGCGTATTGCCTTGATATAGCCTTAATTTAAACTTCACCCATCGCACAAGCAAGTGGCTATCAGGACTCAGTGGCCGAGTGGATAACGCGATGGCGTTTGAAGCGAGGGTACTGGGTTCGAGTCCCAGAGTGAACATTAACTCTGAGATGCAGGTATATCCAGCTGACGAGTCCCAAATAAGATGAAACGCGCATCCTGGATTCCACTGCTAGCCACTGTCCATCTCTGCTTGCTTAGTAATGAGTTTCACATCAAAAAGAAATAGTGTTACAATATTTCTTCGTTTATTGTAGTTATCTGTTTAAATTGCATCCATAATTTTAATTACCTGCAAATCGAACAGTTTCAACCAATGTCACTTCGTGAACGTTTGTCTATCTAACTGTGTTATGAATTTTAAAAGAAGACTGTAGCCAGATTGTTGTGATTTGATGTCCGGCTTATTATCACGTGATTTATCCACTAATCGGAATACGACTTTTCCAATCTTAACACTGACAAATCAATGACGTTTGACTAGTATGAGCAGTCTAGAGTCCTTATTAATCCCTTATCCGTCTAGCCCTTCCAATTGAGTCCAGAACACTGATTTCAGCTTCAGCTATGCGAATCATTTATATCATGCATATTCTATTTATATACCAGACAGACAGACCATATCACACCATAAAATAGAAAATAATATTTGTACAATATCAAGCCAAATGCGGTTGTGAACGTGAGAGACAGTAATCAATAAACTGAATATAATTTAGGGACAATAATTCGTATAATAATCCATAGGTCAAAATGAAGCTTACAATAAGATGAATATAGATATACACAATCTACTTACTCAACAGTCAAACAAAGAGTGTATATATAGAATAATCGTCCATTAATAGGTCCAGGAAGTTACCCGTACTTATGTCTCCGCTAGGATATAACCAACTGCTCATGAAATATTTTCCGGTCATCGTAAATGTAAACAAAAAAAGGAAAAGCGTGACACATGAATCTGACTATTGTTATGTGATTTACTATACTTAAATTATACTCAGTCTATTGATTACAGTCTTCCACGTTCACAGTCACTTTTTGGCTTGATCTTGTATAAATGTTATTTCCTATTTAATGGTATGATATGATCTGTTTGGCTTGTACATAAACCGGGTATGTTTGAAATAAATGATTCACATATTGGAAGCTGGTATTGGTGTTCTGAACTCAAATGACAAGGCTAAGCAGGAAAAGGACCAGTAACAAAGCTAGACTGCTTATGCCGGTTGATACGTCATTGGTTTGACACAGTGCTAAGATTGTATAAGTCGTATTCTGGTTGGCGAATAAACCACATGATATTTAACCCGGCTAAAAGTCGAAACAATTTGGTGATCTCATTAAAGAACAATCGTGAATACATGATAAGAATATATCTATTCACCACAATAAATAATGAATGGACTAAACATGAAACAATCATTAATAATTTGTATTGTACAAATAATTTGTTTGTTCTATTGCATAAATCATAATAACAACAGTCATATTTGTTAACAAGTCCTGGAGTAAGCTCGCTGATAGAATGTTTAGGTGGACATTGAAGTAAACAACCTCGACCTTCCATTTGATAACCTTGAAAAGTTGAATAAGCTGTCTGTAAATGAGAAATTAAAGGGAGAAAAACACAATGTTTAGTTCCCAATTTCGACATTTCACAGGTAACAATCAGATGACTAGAAGTAAACAAAATGAAGTGAATCCATGTTATTCTGTTAAGATCTTTGTTTTTGTGCTCTTCAAACGTTTTGAAATGAAACATCAAGTATGCAAAATTATATCGGCCGTTAGACAACTATCGCTATTCGCAATGGAAAAAGGATCTCACATGATCACGAATTGACTGAATTTAGTAAATCTAAACTATTAGATATCACCCCAATGGTCTGAAGATTACTTTCTCATCAAAAAACCTACAGGTTCAGAGTTTGTCCGTATGTGATGTTTGGGGCAGGAACTGCCATGTAGTTTCATGCTGATACTAAACACCTTGCCAATGTTCTCGGCTAAAAATGGTCACCAAACTAAAGTCAGTGTGTGTTATAAATTTATAAATAAGTGTGTGTTTTTTGCCCAATTATACTTTCACATGTTCTAGAAACCTGTTTCCTTAATATAAATTAGATAATTAAATATCTTGAAAGACAACTGCTTTTTAATTTCATGTTGATCATGATTGTACAATAGCAAAGAGTTCCAAACTAAAATAATCGCAGCTATTCAGTGTGACATACTTCCCCATTTCTCCTCCAGTTGATATTAATTTATAGTGGAACATGCTGTAGTGCCGCGATTCGTTAACCGTTTACTTCGATAACCGTTATAATTCTAAACTTAACGGTGCGTAAAATCAGAAGACAAAGGATAGCAGCAACTACAGTTTATTGTCGAATGACTCAGGTTCGAAAGCTAACAACACCTGAGCGAATATGAACGAGCGAGTGAACAGGCAAACAAGCGAAGGAAACGAACGAGGAGCAAGCGAGCGAGCGAGAGAGTAGCAAGCAATTACATAGGCAATTTATAGTCAAATTTAATAAGGGCACAGCAAAGCAAAACAAAGGCTGATAATAATATTTGTGTGCGTACATATATGGGGAGGAGTATGAGTCATCGAATGATATTTAAGCAGTCAACATTTCGGCTAGAGTGTCATGTGCTCTAGTGGTATAGCAGTGCAAAGAATATGCAAATTGTTACTATCCTAATGACAATGTCTGTTAAGTAAGTTATAAAAAAGGGCTTAACCAAGATTGGCTATAATCGAAATTGATTGTAGGATGGTTGCTATATTACTCCCCCCTGCAAACAAAGATATATAAAAAAATGTCTGTGTTTGCATAATGTACAGTAAATTGGATAGCGTAGTTACAATCATTTGAAGATATGGGCCTGTATAAAATTAGAATGAAGTTAGTGTGTATTTAGTTCGTGCCCGTCCGTTAGGCTATACAAAATAGCTGTAAGAAATAGAAGGGATATGGTATCGCTTCGAAAAAAAAACTACACGTATGAGCATAAGGGTGTACATAAGCTGTGCCAAGTTTAATAGCGTATAGCATGAATTTAATAATCCATATGTATACAATGAAGAGGAAGAATTATAATTAATAATCAAAGTAGCAGAAAATTATCAGTAAAAGATTGTAGCGACATAACGTTGCGGCCATCTTACTCTGCGACCAGATTTTGTCGTTATCGGAGTCTCTTCGTTTTGGTGCGTTAGCGTCGTTGACTCCTGAGATTCGTGTTTCGTAGGTGTGATCGTCTTCGAGAGGCTTGTGCTTGTCGATTGAAAATCGCTATCGATGAAAGCTGGCTTCACACGATCGATACTGATTACGTCTGTCTTCCCAGCTTTTTCTACCGTGACTGTCTTATCTGTCTTCGTAATCACTTTAAATGGACCTTCATAGTTCGGCTGCAGAGGTGGTTGTACGTTGTCTCTTCTGATAAATACGTGCGTGCTATTATGTAGTTGCTGAGGTACGAATACTCGACGTTGTTGTAGTCTGGGAAGTGCTATTTTTAAATCGCTCATGTGTTTCTTCAGGCGTTGGACGTAGTTGGCTACATCAGTCGGAACACTTTTACCTGAAGCGAAAAATTCTCCGGGTAAACGTAAAGTAGTTCCATATACCAACTCGGCTGGACAACATCCCATATCCTGTTTAATTATTGTTCTTAAACCTAACATGACTAAAGGAAGCTTATTAGCCCAATCGTTATTGACAATGACAGATGTAAGGGATGCTTTCAACTGCCTATGTAGGCGTTCAACCATTCCGTTTGCCATTGGATGGTAGGATGTCGTTCGTATACGTTTAATTCCGAGGAGTTCTGTAAGCTGCTGGAAGAGTCGACTTTCGAATTGAGCTCCTCTATCGGTCGTGATAATTGCCGGTATACCATAGTGAGAAATCCAATTCTCGATTAGGGCTTTTGCTACAGATTCGGCTGAGGTGTCTTTGATTGGCACCGCTACAGGCCATCGGGTAAATCTATCGATGCATGTAAAAATATAGTTGTACCCGTTCGAAACTGGCAGTGGTCCCACGATATCGATGTGTATATGTTCGAATCGAGTGTCTGGCTGTGAAAACGAACCCATTGGCGAACTAGTATGACGATGTACTTTGGCTTTTTGACATTTCATGCATGCTTGCGTCCAATTTCGTATATCGCGATTCATTTTCGTCCATACGAAACGCTCACTGATTAATTTCATCGTGGCTTTTATTCCCGGGTGCGATAGGTTATGGATACTTTCGAATACTTTCCGTCGCAATGGTTTAGGAATGAATGGGCGAGGTCGGCCAGTTGACATGTCACATATTACTTTCGCGTTGCCGAACTGAATATCTTCGAATAATAATGACGTCGTGTCATCGAATCTTAGCTTGTTTAGTTCGATGTCTATCTCTTGTAACTTCGCGAGACCGTGATAATCAATTCCATTTGTAATAATCGCATTTATCGTTGTTCTGGACAACGCATCTGCCACTTCGTTATTATTACCTTCAATATACTGTATGCTAGAAGTAAATTGGGAAATAAATTCTAATTGTCGAATTTCCCTCGGCGAATAGTTATCCTGCTTGGCGTTTAATGCTTTCGTGAGGGGTTTATGGTCTGTATACACTGTAAAAATGGTACCCTCTATCATGTGTCGGAAATGTTTGATTGCCAAGTAAATCGCTAATAGTTCTCTTCCGAACGTACTGTACCTCGTTTGTGTAGGGTTTAATCTCCTCGAGAAAAATGAAATCGGTTCCCATGTACCGTTTACTAACTGCTGCAGTACAGCTCCTACTGCTATGTTCGATGCGTCCGTCATGATGGCTAGTGGCGCTTCGCTCTTTCGTCGAACTAATATCATTTTCTCATGAAGTGCTCGCTTAGCGTTCTCAAAAGCCTGTATGGCCTCTGTCGATAGATGGAATGTTCGGGTATTTCCTCGCAAAGCGTCCGTTAATGGCTGTAGTATTGCTGCGCAGTTTGGAATAAATCGCCTATAGTAGTTTATTAGTCCCAAGAATCGTCGTAACTTTTTTTGTGACTCGGGCAACGGATAATTGCGAATAGCAGCAACTTCTGCTGGAACTGGCATAATACCTCGAGAATTTATCATATGACCTAGGAATTGCAATGATTTCTTTCCAAATTCACATTTCTCCACGTTAATAGTGACACCATGTTCTTGAAGTCTCGTGAATAACTGTCGTAGATGTTGTAGATGTTCTTCGACGGTAGCGCTAGCTACTAATATATCGTCGATATATGCGTATACCCCTGTCAAACCTCTAACAACCTGATCAATAAATCGCTGAAAGGTTTGAGCTGCATTAGTTAGTCCAAATGGCATTCGTAAAAACTCAAATAAACCAAATGGAGTGATTACGGCCGTTTTCGGTATGTCTTCTGGGGCCACTGGAATGTGGTAGTACGCCCGAACAAGATCAATTTTCGAAAAAATCGTAGCACCTTCCATTTCGGTAGTGATATCGTGAATATGTGGCACTGGGTATCTATCTGCTATCGTTTGCTTGTTAAGGGCTCTATAATCTCCACATGGTCTAATTTCTCCATTCTTTTTGGGAACCATATGTAACGGAGATGCCCAGGGACTATTAGATGGCCTTATGATACCAAGTTTCATTAGTTTTTCGAATTCTCGTTTCGCAATGTTTAACCTTTTTGGGTCCAACCTTCGCGCTCTTACTCTAGTCGGTGGACCTTTCGTGACGATATGGTGCTGTACTGTATGTTTAAGATCTTTATTGTCGTATGATGACCTCGTTAAGTCGGCGAACTTATTTAGAAGTGACTTATATTGCTCGTTCTTATCTTTCGACACTACTAAATTCATAGATACATGATCAGTGGTCACTCCTCTTATGACTACTGAGCGTTCTCCATTCACTAGTTGGTTTCGTCGAGAATCCACTAATAGGTCAAAATTCTTTAAGAAATCGATACCAATTATGGGTACGGAAACATCAGCGATTACAAATTCCCAGCGAAGTGAAATATTAGTTAGTTTTCGTTTGCCATATGTCTTTATATCGGATCTATTCGCTGCTTTAAGAGTTAGCGCAGTATCGATATTTTGTTTTTCGTTGCTCAATGGAGGGACGACGCTTATCTCTGCTCCCGTGTCTACTAAAAACTGCGCGCCCGTTACTCTGTCCTGAACATAGAATAAACGATTGCTCGTGGGAGCTGCGTTGATTTTCGTAGTCGTTACTGAGAATCGTTGGGATCGTTTAAATTTGCATGGAGACCTGCATTTTCGAGCTCTGTACCCAAATGTTTGATGGTACCAGCATATAACAGGATCTGGTAGTCCCTTAGAAAATGATCGGTTTCTATCTCTTGATCTGCTGCGCGACCAACTTCTTTTCCTGTCGTTGTGATTTAGACTCGTTAGTTTATGGCATAGCGCATTAATTTCCTTTTGCAAGGCCTCGATTCTTTCGTCAACTGTGAAGTTGAGCGTTTGTGAAGTCGCATTTCTCATTCTCTCGTAAATCTTATCGGCTATTTTAGCGATATTGTCTATGTCTACATCGCTATCTCCAACAGCGAGGATCTGCTGTACGTTCGGTGGGAGTCGTCGCAACCATAAGTGGTAAAATATATTTTTATCCACATTTCTGTCTCCAATTACGTTGCTCATATACGTTTTTAACTGCGAAGGCGTTCTATCTCCGATTTGAACTTCACTGAGCAACTGCTCGACAGCTTGCCGGTCGTTTAACGAGAGAGCTTTTATTACTGCCTGTTTCAATACATCGTACGGATTTACCGCATCCGGCTTAGTTAGGACCTCTCGTACCTTGTCTGCTACTTCATCTGGAAGTAGTGAGCTTGCGTAGCCGAACTTATGTCGCTGTAAAAGAATACGATTGGCTACGAAGTAATTTTCAAGTCTAATAAACCAGAGTTGAGGATCAGTAACATTAAAAGAGGGAATAGTAACATTAATAACTCCCACGGATGGTGACTGTGAAAGATCGATTGTTTCGTTATTTAAAGACATTACTAATAATAATAATAATAATAATAATAATAATAAATTAAATAGTATGCGAATATAACGTAATTGTCACTGAGAGAAATGAATCGATGAAAAAAATGATAATAACAAAAGGTACAATTTATAAAATGGAACAGACTTACTAAATTGCACCAATATATCAATTGTTAGTGAATAATCGTTATTTATTATGAATATTATCGTTAAGTTCAATAATGCTTATGGGATGATGAACGTGCGATTAAAATTGTGATATAATAAATCCACAATTATGATTATAATCCAGATAATAATTCGAATAGAAACAGAGTACGTTGAATTTTCAAAATGAAATTATCTCGTCGAAAATTGTTTTGCGTTCGCTCGTCGAGGCATCCAATTCCGTAGTGTCGTGTTCGTACGGCGAGGTAACCAAATATATTGCGTCGTGCTCGTTCGGCGAGATATCCAATTCTATTGCGTCGTGCTTGTTCGGCGAGATATCCAATTCTATTGCGTCGTGCTTGTTCGGCGAGATATCCAATTCTATTGCGTCGTGCTTGTTCGGCGAGGCCTCCAATTCTGTAGTGCCGCGATTCGTTAACCGTTTACTTCGATAACCGTTATAATTCTAAACTTAACGGTGCGTAAAATCAGAAGACAAAGGATAGCAGCAACTACAGTTTATTGTCGAATGACTCAGGTTCGAAAGCTAACAACACCTGAGCGAATATGAACGAGCGAGTGAACAGGCAAACAAGCGAAGGAAACGAACGAGGAGCAAGCGAGCGAGCGAGAGAGTAGCAAGCAATTACATAGGCAATTTATAGTCAAATTTAATAAGGGCACAGCAAAGCAAAACAAAGGCTGATAATAATATTTGTGTGCGTACATATATGGGGAGGAGTATGAGTCATCGAATGATATTTAAGCAGTCAACATTTCGGCTAGAGTGTCATGTGCTCTAGTGGTATAGCAGTGCAAAGAATATGCAAATTGTTACTATCCTAATGACAATGTCTGTTAAGTAAGTTATAAAAAAGGGCTTAACCAAGATTGGCTATAATCGAAATTGATTGTAGGATGGTTGCTATAATGCCGTCATAATGTTTATTCACCATGCGAACAATAAATTAAAATCAGAAGGGGTTTTTGTGGATACTATTACTTACTTACTTACTTACTTACGCCTGATAACCCTCGTTGAGAAGTATAGGCCACTCACCAGTATCTTACATTCAACCTAGTTCTGGGCAATCGTTTCCAGTTGTTATTCATCCTTTTCATATCTGCTTCCATTTCCCGACATTATGTGTTATTTGGCCTTCCTCTTTTCCACTTCCCTTTAGGATTCCAAGTCAGGGCTTGCCTCGTGATGCAGTTTGGTGATTTCCTTAATGTGTGTTTTGGATACCATAGTAATTTTAATAGTTTAGATTATGAGTCAACGGAAACTATACCACCATGAAAAATCTGGAAGCTAAACTTCGTTAATCGGTTGAAGTTAGACACTAACACTAATAGATGCCGGCTTAGTGGTCTAGAGGTTAAGTTTTCGCACGTGAGACTGATAGGTCTTGGGATCGAATCTCGCGAGATGGGATCGTGGACGCGCGCTGTTGTGGAGTCCTACAATAAGATGCAGTATATCCAGGATGAAACTTGCGTCCTGGACTCCATTTCTGTTTATAATACCATCATAATGTTTATTCACCATGCAAACAATAAATTAAAAACAAAACCTTTTTATCTTTTTACTGTATTATCAGATTAGTTTCCATGTGACTTACAATACAAACTCCACAGTTGTGTAAAATTTCATCTTTTGTAATTTGGAATATTTTTTTGTATTTTTCTTCACATGGTAAACAAACACGACATTTGATAGCGAATGCTGTAAGAGGGAAATAGAAAATACTTATAATTTTAAAGTAACCCTATCAGTGTTATAACAGATCTTTAATAAACCATAAATGGATTAACAACCTTCTCTTTTCAGTCTCAATTATTACTGAAGTAAATGAAACAGTCAGGGTTAAATTGTCAATTGGATTTTGTCTACGGAAAGTCGACATCATGAACGAATAGTGGTTAGATAAGCATTGAAAATCCTGAAGTAATGAACAGTTGTTTCTATCCTAGAATAGAACTGTAGTTGACAGTACTATTGTGGTGTACGTTATTTATATCTGTCGACATAAGTAGTATGTGGTACCAATCACAAGCGGAGTGACTGACAGTAGAAGATTGAGAAGATCGAATCGATGAGAACGGGTACATAAATTATTTGTAATAGTAATGACAGAACTATGGAGTTTTAGACAAATGATGGAGGATTTGATGTATGAGTTCCACATTTTAGGAGAGAACTCTGTAAATCTGTAATTAACAGAGAAATTGATTGTCCCCACCTGAGTTTTCATTCATTAAACCGTTACACACATGATCCATCCTAGCTTTGGAATGGATTTAGATAACTCAGACAACGTGTGACTATTCAGTTGTTTTTACCTTCATAATAACTAATCTTTTCATAGGAAATTGTGGGTCACAGGAAATATACTTCTTGTAATTCCACACTTGTGCGTCTTGTGTGTATGTCTTTCACTTGTTATTTAATCTAATCCCTGTTTCTTTGTCACACTAGTCATTATCTATTTTGAGCATATTTCCATGTATCCCTTACCCCGTTCATCACACTTCTTTAGTTTATTTTTATCCGGCTATAAATAGTGAGTGACACTTTATCAAGATGAGTTGAAATGCTTGCTTCCTCCACTTCGCTTTCCTGCCTCTCATCTTAATCTTTGTCTAAATAAATGAATGCCTGAGATCAACTCATCTAACTAAATCAGCATTTGGTTTCTTATTATCGCCGTCGCTCAAATTAGGCTTACCTAGGTGTAATATACGGAGTTAAACGGGAGATTTATATTCATCCATCCATTCATCCAAGTTGGATTCAGATCATGGGCTTCAAGAGAACTCAATAACAAAGTCACTCATTCCCTAACGAAGTTTTGGACCCAGAACTTTCGAGTCTGGCAGATGAGAACTTATTCCGTATACCATTGAGTTTACTTCTATTGATTTACATTTCCGAAGTTAGTCAATTTATTCTTTATAAACATAGCTTGATAAACATTTCTCTTTTAACAACTATTTATGATATATTTCTTTACAATTAGGAGGTTATAACTTTATCACTTTTTTATTTTTACACATGAACATTGGTACAAGGAGGCACCAAATATATATGCACCACATAATAACAATGACGCCAATAGTAGTTATCAGTGATTTGTGTGAGGGCTGTGTTACTATCTGGTTGCCAAAACTGAAGTAAGTGGTTTTCTTGAGAGGCCACACCTCGAGTCATTGACCTGAGGGTCTAATCCACAGAACAATGAGGCAACGTTAGGAGATGCAATTCCATGGTAGCCGGTGACTAATAATATGTTCATACGATATCTGTTCCCTCAGTATCTTGGAATCCATGTACACCATTGGTTCGTAATCAGGATTTTCCAACTGACTAACCCAGTTAAAGCGTCGGACATTCGCTTTTCGTATTCTCAGTTTCGTAACCAACACCCCCACCACGAGAAGGCAGTGAGTAGGATTTTCCTAGCAGTAGCTATATACGCGTGGCCATGTGAAGCATTTCAAGAGGGAGAGAGAACTCTCCCCAATCTCGGCCGTACCAGGGTATTTGGGGGCAGCTGATTAAGAAACAAGAAACTAAAATGACGTTATATTATTCTGCTTCAGTTATTGATTTACTTTATTCACTTTTCATTCAAAAAAAGTTGTAATTTATTTTCATACTGAATCAAGTGATTGAATATATTGTTGATAATTATCATATGGCCGTCATCAATACGTAGTCTTATAGACTAGTCGTTCATGACATTTCATACTATTTAGTGTATACAAATCTCAATCTTACAGTGTGTGGTTCATGGCTAAAATAGGTCAGTGTTAAAGCCTCTAATTTGGACAGTATGTAATGTAGTTTGAACTCTATATGGAACAATAGTTCCCTCAATATTGCATCGATGTATTGATTATGAGTACCATTTAGCATGAAACCTTAATATGGGGTTTGTTATCGATTTCCTTTGACCATCTATCATCAAGTTGCTAAGCTAGTGGTTGCAGTGCAATTTTATCGATCGAATTTGATCAATATGATATGTGTTGAGTATGAATGTCAACAATGAAATCCAGGTACATCCAGATGAGAATAGCTAAACATAATGGAATATTAGACATGGACTTTATTATTATTCACACTTTAAATGTAATCAACTTGTATATGTTGACAAAATGAAGGAATTCATCGAAGAAGTCAGTAACAACAAAGGATGGTTGAATTCATTACTGAATATCAGCAACCGTCTGCTCAAGAATCCTAGCCATTATTTATAGATGTTGATTCACGTGTCTCGAAATCGGTTACAATACCACAGTTATATTCCTTATCGTCTCATAGATCTTGAGTTTTATAGTTATCTTTTAATTCTTATTCCATCAATTCATTTTTTCTTCTTCATTTATATTGTCAATACTCAGTCATTTCTATCAATTATAACACTGTTATTACATTTTCTATTCTGCAATTTATGGTAATAATTTCATTTCACTATCCAGAAGATACAAGTGTTTATTAACAGTTGTCTACGCAAAATACTTCGGATCCGATGGCCAGACACTATCAGCAACAAGTTACTGTGGGATAAAACAAACCAGATTCCATCTAGTGCAGGAAGAAATCAGGAATAGGCGCTGGGAGTGGATAGGGCATACTTTGAGGAAATCACCCAATCGCTTCACAAGACAAGCCCTCACATGGAATCCTGAAGGCCAAATGAGAAGAGGAAGACCAAAGAACGCATTACGCCGAGAAATAGAGACAGACATGAGAAGAATGACCAACAATTAGATAGAACTAGAAAAGAAGGCCCAGGACAGAGTGGGCTGTAGAATGCTGGTCATCTGCCTATGCTCCATTGGGAGTAACAGGCTTAAGTAAGTAAGTATGCTGATGTTGTGTGTTAGCTTGAATAGATGAACATAGTTGTCAGATTTTATGTTGCTTATGGCTAACTGACTGACTGACTAAATGGATCAAGAAATTAAGGTGACTAAGTGACCATGTAAATCAGTCATTGAACAATAATTTTTTTGTTGTTGTTTAAAGTCATGTGCTATCTTGCAAGACGATTTATAGATCATAAATAATTGACGTTTTATATACGAAATAAAAATGGTACTTTCTGTCATTTTGACATTCTGAAATTTAGTATGACAATACTGTTACATAATAGTTAAAAACAACATACATCAATATTTCCTTGACAAACAATATTTGACATCTTTTTTATCTAATTTAATAGTTGAATTCATAAATCGATTAAAGCTAGACCACCATGAAAAAACTGGAAATAGTGGATAGTCGTTTCGTCCTAGTATATGATTCTTCAGCGGCATACACCCACGGTCCCGGCTCGCGGTATTCTAACCCAGGACCTTTTAGCTCCTCACGCGAACGCTAAACCTTTAAACCACTGGGCTGACATCCAATGATGTTAATGTTTAATTTCAATCAATCCATGATTTTGCGTAACCCGTCTAGTATTCGCAGGTTTTCAATGGTAGTCTAGGTTAGATTGACTCGTGAATTTAACTGTTAAAATATTACAATCTTTACAAATCCCCATACTATGTAGTGTAAAATAGTTCATGCTCATTGGGAGACCTAGTAATGTATGAACATTGATAAAGTTTTTCCAAAGTTGAATGAAACAACTATCTAAAACTCCAGGATTTTCATCAATAGAACACTATTAAATATTTAAGTTACAATAATCAAATAATGAAAAACTTATACTGTAACTACAGTCTAAATCAAATATTACATCAAATTCATAAAATAAGATTTGAGATGGATGGTTTGATCGTGGAGCTTTCATCGTCCTTCTGAACGACATCATCAACACTTCACGTCTACCCGAAGTTTGTGCTGATTATGTCGTTCAGAAAGACGATGAAAGCTCCACGACCAAACCATCTAGCTCAGAGAACAAAACTCCATCAAAAGTCTATTCTAGATATTCCTTAATGAAAGACTTATTGGTAGTATATTCTAACTAAAAAGAGGAAGATGTAACTCAATTAATGAGTTATGCATTATAGTTGTAACTCTTTAATCTTATGATAGTTCTAAATTGTATTCAGTCACTTAGTTATTGACTAATTCGTAGTAGTAGATTGTACTCAGTTGAATTTGTTTAAAAAAAAACAGACTATTAATTAGTGGAAATGTAGGTTGACGTAGGTTGAATCTGTTCACGATAATGCAACAGCATTTTATCTGTCTGTTATCTCATCGTATCTCCTAAACATCGAGTCATATCAGTTTTGCTTGGTGATAGTGTAGTGAACGAGAACATAAGTGAGAACAATCAAAATATTTTAACACAAAATTACAAAATCTCTTAGTAAAATCTGAGGATCATACAGTAAATACTTCATTTACAAAATATCAATTCTCTCAAACTTCATTGTTCTTTCGTTTCCTCACTAATCATTCACTGTTCTCGTTCTCTTCTCTTCGATACATACAAAGCTTAAAACATTATTACAAAGAGGAACCAAATATATCACAATTGACTGATCACTGGGTGGTGATCAATCTCATGCGTGTCAGGTCCTTAGTGCTGATCGAATGCTATCGATCAAGTTGCAATGTGGCCACCAGTCTAGGTGGCTCGACACTGCGGGCACTATATATATTAGGGTAACATGGTGGTTGGAGGTGGTCAACAGGAAACCCTGGACCCGGGTTTCGTGCTACTTGGCACTCGTCAGCAAGGTGTACCTGTAATCTTGAGGGAACTGATGCTCCCTGGCGGATTCAATCCCGCGTCACTCAGCTTCACAGTCAGAGACGTTACCACTGAGCTATTCGGGCCGCGACCGACCTCCTGTAGGACTGAGATCTAATCACAATTGATTGATCACTGGGTGGTGATCAATCTCATGCGTGTCAGGTCCTTAGTGCTGATCGAATGCTATCGATACCAAATATATATCCATCCCATAAATCAAATGATTTGTATGGGGTTTGGGGGCACTGCCCAGGCTATAAAGCCAGAACAACAACTGAGGCAGAATAATATGAATTTACAATATTTTATGGTTTCTCATTATCTGTTTACAACCACATATGTATTGAAGAGTGACACTGAGGTATCATTTAATGTGAAACAATCGATATTAGAATGACAAAGGTTATCAATAATATATATAAATGTCATTTGGAGATTGAATTCAAACACATAAGGTGTTAGGCGATACATGAATTAAATGGAGTCAGGAGAAAGATATGATAAATTGTGCAATAATCTTAGAGGTTGTGAAGAGTTTACAAAAGATAACTGGAAGTAGAAATTAATAAGATGGGTTATGTAATAATTGAATAGGATTTGAAGAGTCTGTATAAGTTTAAACAATTAAGTGAATGAAAACGCATCAATGAAGGGATGGTTTTGGTTTACATAAAATAAGAATTAGTTAACGAAAGACTGCATAACAAAATAGACACTAAGTAAAGAATGATACTGATTAAAATAATGTAACAAGATAGTGATAAACAATGATGAAAAGTGGCTAGGAGTGGAATCCAGGACTCGCCTTTGTTTCTATTTGGGACTCGTCAGCTGAATGTACCTGCATCTCAGAGTTGATGTTCACTCTGGGATGCAGGTACATCTGGTGTGTCCTTGATTTCACAGCTAGCCACTATCTATCTTTGCTTATAAAGCTTGTGATTTCAGGCAATATAGAGACAGTTCACACAGGATGCACATATGGCCAATAAGAAACTGATCGATTGCAGTCCCAAATAACAATGTGAAGATACAAGTAAACAGCACCAAGTGAAGGTATTGATAAGTTCATTATTGTCTTGATATATAAATTGGGTTTGAGTTTTTTAAAATATTGATTTGATAAACCGGAGAGATACTGAGTTTTTATTCTGCTAATAATTTTGAATGCCTGTGGAATGTCAATGGTATGCCTGATGTCAAGTTAATGCCAAGCTATTGAAATGTTTAGAGCCGTTGCGTATTTCAGTCTCAAGTTCTTTGCAATGTGGTCCGAAATGCGAGCAGGTATTTTTCTCTATAGATCAGTAGGTTTCTGATATTTTTGACAGGTATATATATCCAGTGAAGAAAACCAATAAACTTTTGACACTGTTTTACATTTTTCAGGTCTTTACAAATGATACTATGGAGGAATTGTGTATACATTCATTGACGAATGAATTTAGCATGGTAACAATCGATACATTATTTATAAATCATTAGTTAATTGAAAATCAGTTTCCATTATTAAGATGATATCATTCAGAGAATAGCTGGAAGATAAGGGAACCGTAGTAAATTATTGACCCCAAATTCTCTGGTACGGTTGAGGATGATGAGAGTCTATTGGGAAGTTCTATACACTGACTTCTTGTGGTGGAGGTGATGTTTATGAAATTGAGAGAATGAAAATCGAATGTCCGTTGCTTTCGCGAAGTTGATGGATATGAAGGATTCATCTAGGCGACTTGGAAAATCCTTATCAAAAACCAATGGTGTACATGGATTCTAGAATCCAAAGGGAAAAGATGGCGTATGAACATATTATTGGTCACTGGCTACCATGGAATTGCATCTCCTAACGTTGCTCTGTGGATTAGACTTTCAGGTCAATGACTCGAGGTTGTGGCCCCTCAAGAAAACAACCTACTTCAGTTTTGGCACGCAGACAGTACCACAGCCCTCACACAAATCATTGATAACTACTATTGGCGTCATTGTTATTGTGTGGTGCATATATATTTGGCGCCTACTTGTACGAATATTCGTATGTTCAAATGAATAATAAATAAAAAATAAAAACAAGATATTCGGTTCGTAAAGGAAATCCATAAACAGTGTGAATATTTGATGACAATATAAACACTGAAATCACCATGTCTCGTTAGTCAATTTTATTTCCCCAAGTTCATATTTTTGATTAGTAGTCAATTCTTGATATAGACCTGTTATTATAATCATCATCATCATCATCATCATCATCATCATCATCATCATCATCATCATCATCATCATCATCATCATCATCATCATCATCATCATCATCATCATCATCATCATCATCATCATCATCATCATCATCATCATCATCATCATCATCATCATCATCATCATCATCATCATCATCATCATCATCATCATCATCATCATCATCATCATCATCATCATCATCATCATCATCATCATCATCATCATCATCATCATCATCATCATCATCATCATCATCATCATCATCATCATCATCATCATCATCATCATCATCATCATCATCATCATCATCATCATCATCATCATCATCATCATCATCATCATCATCATCATCATCATCATCATCATCATCATCATCATCATCATCATCATCATCATCATCATCATCATCATCATCATCATCATCATCATCATCATCATCATCATCATCATCATCATCATCATCATCATCATCATCATCATCATCATCATCATCATCATCATCATCATCATCATCATCATCATCATCATCATCATCATCATCATCATCATCATCATCATCATCATCATCATCATCATCATCATCATCATCATCATCATTTGTTATCAGTCGGTATTCCTGTTACTATTTATGAATTCCAACGGATTGATTAATGTTTAATGAACTCTGATTAAAACTGTAGAAATTAATTGAATGACAAATAACCACCTACTTTTCATTTTGCTTCTTATCAACCTTCTGCCTTGGACAAACATACTTAACTTTAACATTTCAGAGAATGAAAGAGAAAGGGAAATGTATCGAAAAATCTGTAACAAATTAATAACTTTTGATCTATTGTTGTTGCATTGTCTGAGTTCATGTCATTATTTAATTGAAAGTTTACTACTACTACTACTACTACTACTACTACTACTACTACTACTACTACTACTACTACTACTACTACTACTACTACTACTACTACTACTACTACTACTACTACTACTACTACTACTACTACTACTACTACTACTACTACTACTACTACTACTACTACTACTACTACTACTACTACTACTACTACTACTACTACTACTACTACTACTACTACTACTACTACTACTACTACTACTACTACTACTACTACTACTACTACTATTACTACTACTACTACTACTACTACTACTACTACTACTACTACTACTACTACTACTACTACTACTACTACTACTACTACTACTACTACTACTACTACTACTACTACTACTACTACTACTACTACTACTACTACTACTACTACTACTACTACTACTACTACTACTACTACTACTACTACTACTACTACTACTACTACTACTACTACTACTACTACTACTACTACTACTACTACTACTACTACTACTACTACTACTACTACTACTACTACTACTACTACTACTACTACTACTACTACTACTACTACTACTACTACTACTACTACTACTACTACTACTACTACTACTACTACTACTACTACTACTACTACTACTACTACTACTACTACTACTACTACTACTGTGGTGTTGTCTACTTATATCCATATAAGTAGTATATGGCGTGGGTCAGACATAGAATGTATTTTGGCAGAAGACCGATGAGGAAAGAACTGAAATGAAGCGCAATCGTTTGGAAAATGCATGAGCAATGGAATTAGAGAAGAAACAGTGAAGATTAAAACAATTGGTTATTAATTTGCAAATTGACTGTTCATTGTTTGGTTATCAGAATTTACCGAGATAGTCTGTAATGTTTGCTTAAATACATTCGATTGTCCCCAACTAGTGTTCTGTTCACTACACTACTACTACTACTACGACTACTAATTATTATTCGGAAATTAACAAGTATGTATTTAAAATGTGATGGAAATTGCGTTATTACTGGAATGCGAAATATCCTATTAGTTACATCAATTTTATACCTTTATTTAGACGAAAAAAGTGATATCTGAAAATGTTGATCTTGAAGAAGGTTGATGACAACATTACATTAAGAAACTGTTAATACAAGTTTGTTTAAATATCTTATATTCAACAAAGTACAAATGATCTTATTAGACGAAGGTAGGAAATCTACGAACAAACTTTTAAAAGTCTTTTCCATCGACTTCCGTGCGACTCACAATTGTCTCTATTTATTATCTGTTTTAGCAATTTATTCTCATTTATTCATATAGTTATTTGTCCTTCAGTTTTCATTAAAGGCTTACGACATATTGCCATGTTTAATAAAAACTGTTAATCTAAGGTTATAGCAACAGCGTTTTATGGAAGAGGACAAACCATCTTCCAGCTGAAGAGGAAATTAGGAAAAGACGTTGGAAGTGGATTGGACATACATTAAGGAAATCACCAATGTGCATTACAAGGCAATCCTTAACTTGGAATCCTGAAGTGTAGCGGAAAAGAAGAAGGCCAAATAACACATTACGCCGAAAAATAGAACCAGATATGAAAAAGATGAATAACAACTGGAACAAAATGGAAAAGACTGCCCAGGACAGAGTTGAATGAAGAATGCTGGTGAGCGGCCTATGCTCCTCGACAAGGTGTAACAGGCGTAAGTAAGTAAGTAAGTAAGTAATCTAAGGTTAAAGGTAGATATCAATGAAAATTATAATACTACTTACAAAACTATTCAAAAAATAAGCATTTCATTTTTCAAAAATCAAATTTAACTTACCATATGAGATAAATTGTAAAACTGTTAATATAATTAAACTACTATCCACAATGATTCTCATCTTTTGATTGTCTTTATTATATGTTCAATATTTTAGTGATGAATAATGATACTACTTATAATGTTCTTTGGTTATCATTATGATATGCATATGATTAAATAAACAATAATCAATATAGAATAATTGAACAGCAATATTGTACAATATTTTTTTCAGTTTCTAACAGAAGTGTTTATCACTCTATTGGTAACATACAGCTACAAATGTGATTTGTGATAGATGAAATTCTAAAATCAGATTGATTGAACCACCATTATACAGACAGATTTATATATATGTAAGTGGTAGATTACTAGTGTGCAAGAGTAATTGAATGTGTAAACCAAGATTATTGGTTATTCAATGAATACACAATTTGTTTGTTGGACTAGAGATACAGTTGTTTAGTATAATTATGAATATAAGCATAATCAGTCAAGTGTGTAGGTCATAAATAACTCAATATGATAAATCATTTTCATAGTTTGAAACATTGACTAATGTTAGTTAGATCGCAATTGAACAATTACACACCTTCACCCCACTAACGAACAACACACAGTACAGTGAACAAGACCACGAGTGGGAACAATCGAATGTACTTAAACACAAAATTACAGAATATCTCAGTAAAATATGAGAATCATATGGTAAATAGGGTGGAAAAATCTGACTCACACGACCTCGTCGTGCCTCCTGGATCATGACAACCATCCCATGTACTAACGTAAGCGGTAATGAGGGTGGTGGAGATCGGTCTAATCAACCACTCTACCAATACCCTCAAACGATTACGAATGATACAAAGAGTCATTGCATAACTATTGAGGGTTGAAAATAATGGTAAAAAACGAGTCTGCCCAAAAATAAAATTAATCGAATGTGAGTATTATGTAATGGTTCTGCGTAAGCAATGCAGAAACAGGTATTCCGCTCCGGTAGTTGTGCCGTTCTTCGATGTAGCACTCTTTCTCCAGAAGGGCCAATTAGACTTCACCATTCTTATGGCCACATAAAATAGTTAATTTGTAACCTATCAATCATCTGACTCAATCTTGACTGTTCCTTCTGCAAATATCAGTCCATCGTCTCCGATTATTATTGTTTATGCGTTTTCATACCAATTGCATTTCGTTTCCGTTCTCTCGTTGTCGATCTTCTACTGAAATACATTCAATGCCCGAACATCGTTATACACTACTTATGTCAATATAAATAACCGATACTACGCCAGGACCATCATTCTCATAGGAAAACAATTCCGTACAGATAGCTTTCTGACAGTCAATGAAAATATATGATTACCATTTGATGGATTCAATCAAAATATTATTGCGTTTATTTTCTGATATCAGACCCGCAAAATGACGTTATGTATGACTAGCATTATGAAATGAGGAACATTCAAACACTACCTGTTATCTACATTAGTGATGAGTGGATGTCTCACGAAGTCCCAAGTGAACAAACAAACTAGTCGAAAGGGAGATTCGGAATAGTAACAACTTGTTAGAAATGACTGTTGTTATAAATGGGATTCGTAGGTGATGTTGTTACTCAAAATGTGATAGAGAAGATAGAAGGAGCTGAAAATAGAACAAGAATTTCATTCAAAAAATCAAAGATACCTATAGGTGGAATCACTTTCATTGATTTAACAATCGATCAAGTTTAGATATTTACCAAAACATCTTATGTGATTTGCAGTGTTCATCTATCCCGACCTAAAATTCCTGATGGCCCTGTGTCCGATTTCTGATGGTGTTGTAGGTTAACATGTCTTGGGAGTCCCATGATAGGATCGAACAAATGCATATAAATTTTATCGATAGGTCAACTGAGACAAGTCCTTGATGAATACCATTATAACGTAAAATAATCTTTACAAAAAAGCTTGATCTATATTATGTGTCAAGTTTTGTAATAACATGTCTCAGCATATCTGATAGACAATAATTATCAACATTCTAATTATTATCTTTATCTCAGTATTGAAATTGATTAGTCTAGCGCGCCATTTTGAAGACGGTGTAAATAATGAACTACCTTCTGTTAGACGATCATTGAAATCAGAGAGTGCTGTATAGTTGTTTCATCATAAGATGGTACTATTCAGGCATATACACTCACGAATCAACCATAGAACGAACTGGAGATATATATGCCTCATTGTGGGTGCATTAATTTTAAACCACTGAGTTGAAATCTGACGAGATTAGGGAATTATAGTACTGAAAGTAGCAAGAATAAATATATTAACCTTTTAAGTTTTCAGCTTTACCACCGAAGAATAATGACTGCTGATCACTAATTATTAGTCATAACTCATAGAATTTAAACCTTATAATGAAACTCGGGTGAAACTTTGAAATCAAAGGAATTATGATTTTCAGAAAGCATCCAATGAAATTTGGAGGTTATTGGTTTGATCCACAAGAACAAATGGGGACAATCGGATTATAGAACATCTTACTAAAATCTGAGACTTACATACATGTGCCTGTTACCACTCGTGGAGGATCATAGGCCGCCGACCAGCATTCTCCATCCAACCCTGTCCTGGGCAATTTGTTCCAGTTGTATGCAGTTGTTATTGATCCTTTTCATATCTGCTTCAATTTCCCAGAGTAATGTGTTCTTTGGCCTTCCTCTTTTCTGCTTCCATTCAGGATTCCAAGTTAGGGATTGCCTTGTGATGCACATTGGTGATTTCCTTAATGTATGTCCAATCCACTTCCAACAACTTTTCCTAATTTCATCATCAGCTAAAACCTGGTTTGTCCTCTCTCATATTAGGCTGTTGCTGATGGCATCGGGACAGTGAATGTTGAGTATTTTGTGCAAACAACTGTTTATAAATACTTGTACTTTCTTGATGATGGTTGTAGTAGTTCTCCACGTTTCAGCTCCCTACAGTAGAACTGACTGTCTTGACGTTCGTGCTGAAGATTCTTACTTTGATGTTAGTTGACAGTTGTTTTGAGTTTTATATGTTCTTCAATTGTAGATATGCTGTCTTTGCTTTGCCGATCCTCACCTTTACATCTACATCAGATCCTCCTTGTTCATCGATGATGCTTCCCAGCTACGTGAAATATTCCTCATCTTCCAATGTTTCACCATCAAGTGTGTTTGGGTTGGTGTTCTCCATGTTGTATTTGAGAATCTTGTTTTTTCATTTGTGTACGTTGATGCCTACTAATGCATAGGTTGTTGCTACATCTGAGAACCATACAATAAATATTTCATTTGCAAAATGTCAATCAATTGTCTCAAACGTGACTGTTTCTTCTGTAAAATGTCAATAAATCGTCTTACACTTGATTGTTTTTTCGTTTCCACACTAATCGTTTTCTGTTGTCGTTCTCTTTCCTTTGATCTCCTTAACCTTCTGCCGTCAAACATTTCACTTTTGATTGATAATACACAGCACTTATACATGTTGTTATCAGAAGCACATATCACAACTTACTTACTTACATACTTACGCCTATTACCCCTCGTCGAGGTGCATAGGCCGCTCACCAGCATTCTCCATCCAACTCTGTCCTGAGCCTTCCTTTCCAGTTATTTCCAGTTAACATTCATCCTTTTCATATCTGCTTCCAACTCCCGGCGTAATATGTTCTTTGGCCTTCCTCTTTTCTGCTTCCATTCAGGATTCCAAGTTAAGGAATGCCTTGTAATGCACATTGGTGATTTCCTTAATGTATGTCCTATACACTTCCAACGACTTTTCCTAATTTTTCTTCAGCTGGAAGCTGGTTTGTCTTAGTTAGCTTTTCTACGAGATGGGGTCGCTAACCCCATACCCAACCCTCCGCCTTTACCCGGGCTTGGGACCGGCAGTAACTCTAGAAGAGCTACAGGCGGAGTTACATATTACAACACAAATTAATAAGTCATAGACAATATTTAATTTCAAATAATCTTGTCCATTGCAAATTAATGTAACGTATAACTCAGTATTGTTTGTTTGAATCTTCCCATTGATGTTTAAGACTGCAACTGGTCAGTTTCTATATGTGCATACTGTGAGTATTGCCTCGATATAGCCTCAATTCACAGGCATTATAAGCAAAGATGGATAGTAGATAGAAGTAGAATTCATGACGCGCGTTTCTTCCTATTTTGGACTTGTCAGCCGGGTTTACCTTTATCTCGGAGTTGATGTTAACTGTGAGACTCGAACCCAGTACCTTTCTCTTCAAACACCATCGTATTATCCAATTAACTACTGAGTCCTAATAGTCACTTGCTATATCGAGACAATACGCAGAGTATGCCCATATGCCAATTAGAGACTGACCAATTCAAACAATACTAAGTGAATTTAAACTTCACCCCATTGCACAAGCAAGTGACTATCAGGACTCAGTAGCTGAGTGGATAACGCGATGGAGTTTGAAGCGAAAGGTAGTAGGTTTGAATAGCAGAGTGAACATCAACTCTGAGATGCAGGTACATCCAGCTGACGAGTCTCAAATAGGACGAAATGCGCGTCGTGGATTCCACTACTAGCCACTTGCCATCTTAGCTTGTATAACGTATAACTGTTTTTTACATACACACATAAATCAGCTAACAATTACTTGTCATCAAATGTAAATCAAGTATTTTTATGTGAGAAATTCCTTATATAATTTATGCTGAATGTTTACCTACATCCTATTTATTTATTTCGATTCTCTTGCTTAATCTGTCAAAAATCTATATGCGTGTGAACTAATGTTAGTGAATAATGAAGTAAAGATGTTAATCCATGATTCAAAATGGATCTAAAACAGGACGTTTAAAGATTGTTGAATATTTGTGATGACTGGTGAAGTATCGAAACAGTCACTAATAACTTAGTAAAAAGAACACGTATAAGTTTCAAGATACTTCTGAATTGACAGTGAAATATTTTGATTTGACTTAAAACTCACTTAGTTACTTATACCCGTTACCGCTGATGAAGGAGCATAGGCCGCTCACCAGTATTCTCCATCCAACCCTGTTTTGGGCAACCCTTTCCAGTTGCTATTCATTCTTTTGATGTCTGCTTTCAATTCCCGATATAATATGTCCTTCGGCCTTCCTCTTTTTGTTTTCATTCACGATTCCAAGTTAGTGCTTGCCTCGTGATGCAGTTTGATAAGATTTCCAGAAAGTATGTCCTATCTGCTTTGAAAGTCTTTTTGTAATTTACTCCCTACATCGAAGCTGATTTGTTCTATCTCACAGTAAGCTGTTGCTAACGGTATCCAACCAACGGACATTCAGTATC